ATGTGGGAGGTGGAATTAATAAGTTTATGTCTCTGGGGATACAGGAGAAATTCTATATTGTACAAGATATACACTGGCATATAAAAAGGATTGCAAAATATTGACAAAAGCCAAAAATAAAATGGAATTTTGTGTTTAGATGTTTTTAAACCACTCTCTTTTTTCAGTTGCCCCTGATAAAGATATTTGTTTTAAAACACATTGGAAATAATACATTGTGGCAGCTGTCTTCTTTGCTGACATGTTTACATCTTTTGCAATATTGCAGATAATAAAATAAATTTTAATGTATTGGGTTCTAGCATCCTAGAGGTTTTAAACAGATTCCAGTACCCTTTCCCATGTACTGAAAGACATTTGCACTGCTCTGTTCATATGCTGAACTGTTCAACTGCTCCCCAAAATAGCTATTGCATACTGTGACTTAGGAAACTTCTATAGCTTGTAGCTTGCCAAGAAATCTAACTGCTAACTTTAACATTTCTTCATAAATCCTGACTTGGCAGGTCCAGAAAATGGAAAGGGAGATATATCCAAAGCAGAATCATAAATAGCCCCTCCTCCCGTATATTCTTGCTCAAGAACTCTAAAAGTAGGTGAATACCTTCCATGAGAGAACTTTAAGAACACCGCACCACCTGTCAGCTGCTTATCTTAACTGCAGGCAGGCAGAACAACATACAATAAGCTCTACTCTTTCAGCCTGGAATTGCCACAACTGTACCGTAAGAGGTAGAAGTCTCTTAGCAATATGTAAATATCTTTGGTGAAAATACCCACTACTTGAACAGTACCATTACAATACGCTATGTCTTGTTTTAGAACAAATATCTGGTCTAAATTTCTGTTTTTAGTTAATTAGCGATAATGTAGGAAATCTCAATTGCTTATAGTGATTTAACAAAACACAGCAGCCCCTAACATTGGCTGTCAATCTAATATATGTGACACAACAGGGGAAAGTAATGGATGGAAAAAAACATATTTAGGTCCTTTTCTAAAGTTACATTACAAGTTGTTCCCATTACTAGACAACTAGCTACTTTTAACTGCTTGCAGAGGAAACAAGCTGTCTTGTGGCATCTTAAAACTGGCAAATTTGTTACAGACAGTCCTCATTTAGTGACTGCCTCATTTAGAGACTGTTCACAATTACAATGATGATGAAAAAGTAACTTTGCAACCAGTCCTCACATTTATGACTTTCGCAGGTCTGTAAAACAAAGGAAGTACGATCGGTTGCGATTTCACTTAGCGCCTACTTTGCTTAACAACTGAGTTGATCCCAATTGTGGTTGCTAAACAAGGACTACCTGTATTGTATCAGTCTTGCTTGATTCATCCAATTCATCAAAGAAATGGAATAAAATCCTAAAAATGACGAATATTGTCTGTACACTCATGTTTAATATAAACTAATATACAGTGTTGTTATATCAATTTATACTATACTATTGAACTGGACACACCTAGGCTGTACGTGACTTATGTAGACAAACTCTCCCTGGTAATTTAGCTGACTTTTGTCCTTGCAGCATGCATGTCATTCAGTGGTCTAGCAACCATTCTCTCTTGTTTTGTGTGCTTTTTATAGTTTTATAGTTTTTAATTATGACTGTTTTATATGTAGATATTGGTGGTGTTGTACACCACCCAGAGTCACTCTCTTGTGAAATGGGTGACTATACAAATATAATAACTAACTAACCAACCAACCAGTCCTCCTACCTGGTGTAAAGGACTTTTATTTGGTTTTATCCAGAATAAAACATGCTAAAAATATTTGCAGGAGCATGTTTGGACATGATGTTATCATGCACAGACTTGGGTGAAGACATGCTTACTTCAACCATTTCTATCCTTTTTCACTTCCAGCCTACTAGACTGTAGAAAGTAAAAAATGAAAAATGTGATTATGGAAGGGGAAAGGGTTTCTTTTTAATATTCTCACCTTGGTCAGCTAAGCTGACAAAGTAGCTGACTAGGGAGAGTTGTTTAACGCCCTCAAAGCACCAAATCCGTGGGGCTAAAACGATTCCCCTCAGGGTTAATTGGCTGGGGTTCATTTAATCTGGTTTTCAGGTCTGCACAAACATTCTAACTCTTTCATGATTTAGTTAAGTATGTCATGTAAATACAGTTGTACTATGATAAACCACCCCAACTATGTGTGCCTATATAATATTATCTCAGGATAATACTCCATGAATCTGGTGAAGTAGCCTATACTTTGGCAGAAAAGAGCAGATAGTAGGCCATTAATATGACTTCTAATAAATTGTAGTTATCAATTGCATTAGATACTACAATTATTGTTCTGGCTTCTTCACCTTGGAACTCAAGAGTGATGAACATGGGAGTTGCAGGCAGTTTCACAATTTAGACAGTGATCAATACTGCATCTTGTGCTTTCAAGTCAAGGCCTTAGAATCATATATATATAACAAAATATAGTTTTGTAATGACAACTCAGTATAGATACTATGCAAATTCAAAGATAAGATGATTCTAGGGTCATGAAATAGATAGGGTTCCCTGTGTTTACTGTAAAAAATGAAACTGGATGTCATTACAAAACTATATTTTATTATATATACATGATTCTAAGGCCTTGGATGGATGGATGGATGGATGGATGGATGGATGGATGGATGGATGGATGGATGGATGGATGGATGGATGGATGGATGGATGGATGGATGGATGGATGGATGGATGGATGGATGGATGGATGGATGGATGGATGGATGGATGGATGGATGGATGGATGGATGGATGGATGGATGGATGGATGGATGGATGGATGGATGGATGGATGGATGGATGGATGGATGGATGGATGGATGGATGGATGGATGGATGGATACACACACATATACATACATTATAAACCTTTCTTTGCAATGGGAATGCTTCAGGGTCAAATTATACATTATCTAATGTATGTCTTCATGTATGTCATTTATACTACAAAAAAGTGATCCAAGTCTTTAATTGATTTACATACATATATATAATTTCAATCCTCAAAGATGCATTTTCTTTCTTTCCTGTGTTAATCAACAACCTTGCTTCATATGTTTTATCTGTAGCAAATAATCAATATATTTTTCAAAAACTACTATTCAATCTTACATTCCAGTCTTATCTGGTATAATCACAGAGATTCCATTTTTTTCTTCCAAATCTTTGTACAGTAGCCAAAATTATTATCAGAGGAATTTTCTCTAATTCTTTTGCCTCTCTGGCACTGTAAGCAACAAAAATCACAGCTGCCAAGCCAAAAATGTTTTGGGGTACAAAACCTGAATTTTGATAAAGAGGGAGAGAAATGTTAATATTGTTTGAAATGGAAAACATTTTCCAACTTACTGTATTGCTTTAAAATATTTGATTACAAGCTATTTTAAGCCATATTTGTTACTCAAACTAGCTCCCAGTATATCTTTAATGTAAGGATTAATTCACAAAGATGAATCAATAATTAAACAGATGAATAATCTTACCAGCATTTGTTATTTCTGTTTAAGATATTGTATTGTCTTTGCCATTTCTCAATGAATTAGTATATCTTTTTCTTACAGTTGTCAAATGCTCCTTATCAAACCTTCCTCCTATTTATTCAACAGCAGATGTTTTTGTCTTCTAAATATATTGCATTTCATGTTCAGTCAAGTTTCTTCTCCATTTTTAATTGCTATAATTCTCAGTTAATCCCAAATGGCATCTGATCAGCTCAGAAATGTAATTTAACATGGCTATAGTTAAGGGAAGACATTTTGCAGACAGATGCTAACCACTCTAAATTTAATATTTCCTAGTTGCACTAAAAGCTGGGTGGAAAAATACGCAGGAGCAGCTGAAATTTCAAAGGAGCAGAGACTGATTAAGTCTGTCTACATAGCCTGAATTCCATCTTAAATCTCACACACACTGCAGACTTTTGGGCTCCCCATATCAGCATTTTTTTTCTTTTCCCGTCTAGTTCTGCTTAACCACCAGCCTATAGAAAAGTATTGAAGAAGCAAATAGCTTGCTCATTACTTTGTGACTTTTTTATTTTGGTGTATATACAGTTATTATACTCTGATTTTGGGACCCCCCCCCCCTCGGTCAGCATTGTTACTTACGCTGTATAATTTTCTATTTAAAATAGCAAGGAATTTTTTTAAAAATATATTACTATGTTCTTGATCAGGTAAAAAATATTGAGAAACTGAAGTTTTAAACTCACCTAAACCCACACTACAATTTTCCCCAATCTGTGCCTGCCATCTTAATTAAACTACAGTCCCAGAATTCCCAGTTGGCATGATTGGTGCTGTGCTTCTGTGGAGTTGTATTTCCAAAATACATCCTATACATCAAACTGTAATTCTGAGGAGTAACACTGTAGCTCCAAACATAGCCTATGCATCTATCATGTCCTTTTAAGTCAAATGCCTACATTGTTCAAATAGTCTTTCTAAAGGTTGATGTTCTACTTTGGTACCTTTTAAATAATACAGCCAGAGTTTCTTGATAAGTCGTTTCTTGTCAGATGGGGTAGCTATCTTCGTTGTCAACAGACAAATACTGTACAATATTAAGTCTACTTTATAAAATGTCGTACAAACATGCCTGTTGTTACTAGCTAAAATGGCTGGCATTCTCCAGGAAAAATTGTTTCTTTTATTCAGGCTTCATTAAAGCTAAAGAAACAAAGGGGGAAAAGGCTGAAGGCAATAATCCTTCAAGCATCTCTGTACTGGAAACTACACACATAGATAAAAATTACGCAGGATGCAATTGTGACATGGATAGCGCTCATACCTGTATTTCCAGTACTTGCAGCAGGCAAATGTCTACTGTTTGCATTTTGTTCTATTCCCGCTGCAAAGAATGACAAGAGAAGAGGTCAGCTTTCCAGCAAAGCTGCCTCTGTCAAGTGCTTGGAAAGCAAAGCAGGGAAAGCAGTTGGTTTATATTTAGAGTTTCATTTAAATCCGTGCCAGGGTCTCTCTATCTCTTCCTTACAGTGCTATCTTGGATCCTTGGATTTTACACTGCTGTATCTAAATGGAGAATGAAGCATTTCAAAGCTTTCATAACAAGCCGCTCTGGAGCATTTGAAATAGGTGTTCTTGGGTGCTCATAAAAGAAAAGCAACATTGAAGTTTACATCTATAAACATAAAAGACTTTTTTTTTTGCTCACCAGGATTTTTTTTAATATGCAGAAAAGGAAATTACCCAGAAGGCTGTCCTCTTAAAAATGGTAAGCTTTTCTGTTCCTATATGATTCCCCATAAATTAATGTACAGAACTGTTCTAAATTTACATTCAATGTGAACGTTGTTAACGGGAACTACATAATTCTAATTCAGATGCAAATTTTGAGTTATTTAATTAAGAATGTATAATTTCCATTCGTTTATCAATAAGAATAGACAACCTTAATAGACTATGCACAAAAATTATAGTATGAGCAATACAATCCCTGATTTAAAAACTTTTAGCTGGCTGCCAGGAACAAAATATTAACAGAAACATTTATGGTACAATTCCTGCAAAAGAAGGAAAGAAAGAGGATAAAGTGTGAGTCTATACAGAGACAATATCTAATTGCTTTAACTACAGATGAAGGTACTCTCTTCTGGTGTGTGCCTTTTAATAATATCAGGAAAAAACAAAACTTTCCATTATGCTTGCTATTTAATTAAACTTAGAATACTATGGTGTGGGGAATATTCCTCTTAGAAAGTCAACATTAGCCCAGACAAGTGCTGTTATTGAACAAATTATAAAATACCTCAATGTTAATTTCATTTTAGTGTTTTGGAACTTCACGATCATAGTTCAATCTTTTTATATGATTTTATTTTTCAGTTGTTTTTAATTTTTGTTGTATTTTTTCCTGAGATCTGTTAATATAAGCTGGTTACAAATATCTGAAGAAATATTGGAAACTCAAATATGTAACACCTGCTATTTTACCTGAAACTCCTTTTCTCCTCTCCAACTCAACTAATAATTTATAACTAAACCTTTTAATCATTATTATATTTATGCTATAATAACACATTCAGGTTCCTAGTCAAGAACAGTGGAAATTGCAGGTATATATCTTTAACAAAATTCAATGTAGGCAACGAAATCAGTTTTATACTAGGGTTTAGGCTTAGTCTGTGTAGATTTCTCTCCAAAATTTACTTTTTGGGGAGACACTGGCACACTCTGGTTTGCCTCAATGCTTTTCACTACCCTTGATTTCTAGCTCCATAAACCCAATGGTTTATGAAAAGAGAGCAAGGGAAATATTATGCAGTGTGCACATGGACATTAAGGATTCTTCATAGTTCAATTCTGTACTACAACTGCTTCATGAGCCATGAGCCAACTTTAGCTGAGCTATTTTTTTTTACTCTAGAGATCCAGCAGAATATTATTCATATGGATAAATTAAATGTTGTGTATTTAAAAGTAAATGTGTTGCTTAACACTAGACTTCTCAGTAGATTCTGCTAGCAGGAAATTGAAAGAGATTCAGTGTTTCATGTCCTGCTGAAGGCATGTCAAAATACAGCACTGGGAACTTGATGGTATTGTGGCCACACCTGCTGGCAGTGAATGCTATAATTTAACAATGCATTTTATAATGAATATTATAAAATGCATTTTTAAATTATAGCATTCTTTTGAATTATAGCATTCTTTAAATTCTACTTCTTTTGAATTGTCCTGAAATCCCACTTTTTATTTCACTATTACACCTTTAATGTCTGATGTCATAAGGGAGAAAAAAATGTCCTTCCATATTTTCTATGACATGATAATTTATATACAGTGGGGCAAAAAAGTATTTAGTCAGCCACCAATTGTGCAAGTTCTCCCACTTAAAAACTTGTTTGTAGGTGACCAAATACTTATTTTCCACCATGATTTGCAAATAAATTCTTTAAAAATCAGACAATGTGATTTTCTGGATTCTTGTTTGTAGGTGACCAAATACTTATTTTCCACCATGATTTGCAAATAAATTCTTTAAAAATCAGACAATGTGATTTTCTGGATTCTTGTTTGTAGGTGACCAAATACTTATTTTCCACCATGATTTGCAAATAAATTCTTTAAAAATCAGACAATGTGATTTTCTGGATTCTTGTTTGTAGGTGACCAAATACTTATTTTCCACCATGATTTGCAAATAAATTCTTTAAAAATCAGACAATGTGATTTTCTGGATTCTTGTTTGTAGGTGACCAAATACTTATTTTCCACCATGATTTGCAAATAAATTCTTTAAAAATCAGACAATGTGATTTTCTGGATTCTTGTTTGTAGGTGACCAAATACTTATTTTCCACCATGATTTGCAAATAAATTCTTTAAAAATCAGACAATGTGATTTTCTGGATTCTTGTTTGTAGGTGACCAAATACTTATTTTCCACCATGATTTGCAAATAAATTCTTTAAAAATCAGACAATGTGATTTTCTGGATTCTTGTTTGTAGGTGACCAAATACTTATTTTCCACCATGATTTGCAAATAAATTCTTTAAAAATCAGACAATGTGATTTTCTGGATTCTTGTTTGTAGGTGACCAAATACTTATTTTCCACCATGATTTGCAAATAAATTCTTTAAAAATCAGACAATGTGATTTTCTGGATTCTTGTTTGTAGGTGACCAAATACTTATTTTCCACCATGATTTGCAAATAAATTCTTTAAAAATCAGACAATGTGATTTTCTGGATTCTTGTTTGTAGGTGACCAAATACTTATTTTCCACCATGATTTGCAAATAAATTCTTTAAAAATCAGACAATGTGATTTTCTGGATTTCTTTCTTTTTAAGTGGGAGAACTTGCACAATTGGTGGCTGACTACATACTTTTTTGCCCCACTGTATAGCTACTATATCCTCCATTATCTGCCTCTTTCCAAAGCCCAGCCATTGAAGACAAAACAGATACATCCAACAGAGGGCTTTCTAAATGGTAGGAGTAATGCTAAGGGAAATTAATATTGATGAATCAATGAGTTCAGTGATGATCAGGTGATTGTGATTCCTACAGCACCAGTGTAGTATATAGTTGAACCACAGGAAATGAACCTGGGATGTGGGTTCAGATAGATCTTGATTATGGTATTGGATCAGGACAGGGAAACACAGGTTAAAGTCCACCCGCACCATGGAAACTCAATGACTGATTTTCAGCTTCTCACACTAGCCTATGTTAAGTATGCTACCTTGACATAGAAAACTGAATGTCTGAGTGTCTGGTGAATGTTGTGGGTAGAAGTGATGGACCATCCTGGAAGAAGTCATATAGATAGTCCTCATTTAGTGACCACGATTGGGACCAGCAACTCAGTCATTAAGTGAAGAGGTTGCTAAGTGAAACTGTGACTGTGCTTATCATCTTACTTCAGCTTTCCTTTCCTTTACAGACCTGTGAAGGTTATAAATGTGAGGATTGGTCATAAAGTTACTTTTTCAGCACTGTCATAACTGCGAACAGTCTCTAAATGAGGCAGTTGCTAAATGAGGACTACATGTAGTTGATTTGGGCTAGAACCATGAACAAGAGCATTCCACACTATTTTCTTGTATGTCCTGTTCATTTTGCTCTAATATCTGACAACAGACAACTTTAAAGTATACAAGCCCAAGGTCTAATTATTATCCTACCTTAGCTATAACAGAGAAAGAGGACAGAAGAAAGGAAGAGATGGTAGATCAAGGTAACTGGTTTGATTTAATTTCTAGCTCAAGTTTTCTATCCTTTCTTGAGAGGCAACTAGTCTGTGCAATTATATCATTATATCATGTTGATGAATAAATCTCTGAAGGATGCCAACATTGGGAATGCCATTCAACTATGACTTAGTGAAGTTAATGTTCTCAAGCACTTATGCCAAAATAGTCTGAAATAGTTGTTTTGCAATAGTTTAAAACAGTGTCTGGTGAAACATTTTGAAGCCTCTTGCAAATTAAAAAAACAAAAACAATTATTTTCTGTTATTTCATCAGTCCTATAAAGTCAGCTTGCAATACTCAAATCTGCTATAAAGTTGCATAGTGACATAGCTATGAAGTACTCTATACAAAATCAGTTGCCAATTTTTTTCCTCCTGGTTCACATTTTCTTAAAGGAACATTTAAATTCCCCACTCAGAAAGTGCTCTTTCCAAACCTGAGTATTGAAGGAATTATTTAGGGAGCTATAAGTTGAACTACGTATGATGTCAGAACAAGGCATGCACATTTAAAGGCCATCACTTTACAACGGAGGTTTGCCTGCAGTTGTTACTTAAGTCAGGGCTAAAATGTTGATGTCAACTAACCTGTAAAAAGTGCATAGCACCATGCCCTCATTCTGCTATTCCTTAGTATCATCTGTAGAGTGGAACAAAACTAATGTCAAGTCAACTTATTCTGCTGTGGCATACATGTATAATTCCACTGCTATGTTATGCCTATTTAACTTTGTCACTGAAGGCAAAGACATGAAGACAGCACTAAAACGTATTTACAAAACATTTGTGTCAGTCTTGTTCGTGTCAGTTCTCCACAACTCCATGTACTAGATAAACTTCAACCAGAATGAGTTTTGAACAACTCTATGACATTTAAAGGACAACAATACATACTAATGAAAAAAAATGTTTTTACTATCATAGTTTTGGTGGTAATTCACCAAACTAGAGAGATAAAAGTGAAAAAATGTGGACATAAGCTTCTAGGGAAAGTAATCCTAAAAAATGCTAGCTAAAGTTATTTGATATTTGTCATGTCTTCAGCTCTTAATGGCAGAACCTGTTCTGTCCACAGTGTATGAGAAATTAGTATAGGGAATACAAATCCTCTATGGTTACTATTCAGTTGAATAAGGCAAAACAATGTGCACATTAAGTCCTTCAGAGTGAAATTACTCTTCTATAGAACAACCTTTTGAGAAACAACCGGTAATTTCAACTGGTAACTGCTTTTTATTTATGTGGAAGATGACAGTAAGATGTCAACTGGGAAAAATTACCTCTTGCCAAACATTTGTTAATTTTTCCCCCAGTCTGACAGTGCTAACAATGATATGTTACAACAGGATTTGCATTAAATAGAACTCTCAGAAATAAGAGTTTGTGGACCCCAGGCTTAAAGAGAGTACAGTGTACAAAGCCAAAATGGCAAAGCATTAAATTGTGACAGGAGGGCATGGTGTTGTTCAACCTTCCTACTTTGAGACGGTTTCTGCAGAGGTTTACAAAC